AGAGTCAAGTTTCTGAATTATATGTAGACGATTGTGAATTCTCGAAACTTTTCAAAATAAAAGTTAAAAGAAAGTGCTAATTTATATATTCAATTAAAATCAAAGTGCTTTAAGCGTGCAGTAAAGCAATAAAAAAATTTAATTTAATTAGTTATTAAGATATAGCCTATGATTTAATTTATTAATTTCACAACATACACCGTAACTTCAGTAATATACTATCTTAATTTGAAATTTCTCAACTTTTTCTTGGTATATATATATATATAAGAAAGACGATAGCTGCTTTAAAAATAACTGGCGACCTGAAAATTAACGATTCTAGATTTGGTGCTCTCTCCCTACATTCATCTGTTGTCCCAAATTCGATATCCTTCCATGTTATATAACACCGCTTCAAAAAGGCAACTAAATTTAAAATTAACCAATCCATAACTTGTCTCTACAATTGCATCTACCCTCGGTATAAATACCACTCGCTAACTGCATCCTTCTTCCTTTCCCTAGCTTCGGCATTGCAAACATTTCTATGCTGTTACGTACTTTGTTCTTATTCCAAAATGACACAACGTGCACATAAAAATATTGTAATTGCTTATGATCTAGTAATGTCTTATCTACTAAGAAATGATTTGATTATATGCGAAAATAAAGATTGGTGATTTATCGGAATCCTGTCTTGCCTCTCTGCCAGCACGACTACGCATCAAAATTATTAGACACATACATATATATATAAAGAGAGAGATACATTTGTATTTAAATTCAAATATTTCACACCTCATATATCCAAATAAATGAGTATAAACATTTTAAGTTTTAAACTTTTTATTTAAATTAAAATCAGATCGAATGGAATCACTGTATTGTCATTGTATGATTTTCATAAATACATCCTTCGCAAATATCAGTTAAAATTCATTAACTTGTATAATCATGCAAGTTAATGTTTTCGTAGAGATAATCTTCCCGGAACTGTAACTGCCTTTCAAGCCACTTTTCGTAAGTCGATATATTCCAGGGGTGGCCAAAGTGCGGCTCGCGAGCCTGATACGGCTCGTGCATATAAAATTTTGCAATTTGTGCGACTCATGCATATAAAACATATGTATGAAATATGGTAAACTAAAACTATTCAGTGTCCAAAAGGAAGTAAGTAATTAGCTTAGACTCATTTTACAAAGTTATTAGGGATTTCTTTCCATTTAAAACCTCCTCCACTACTTTTATAATGATGTAACTATGAACTTGTGGCTTTTAGAAAAACTAGATGTGGATCTCGAACATTCCTGAATTCAAACGTGCGGCTCTTACTGACAAAGTTTGGCCAACCCTGATATATTCAATAATTCAAGAAGCTAACCGATATTCATAGAAAATCAAATCCAATGACTGTAATTGTTAGGATCAAATCGTCCAGAAAAATGTTTTCTTCTTAAATACTGATCCTAAACATCTACTTCCAGTTGCGAACTTCCTCAAAATATATTTTATACTGGCTGGAAAAATTAAAGAAACAACTATACAAAAGTAGTTTGCTTAGTAGTCCAATGACACAAGTCTATAAAAACCTACAAGTAGCCAAAGCATCAGGCCATGAATCTGAAAATCTGTTTGAAAACACTCAATGTATGCAGACAAATAAGTCAAGGTCAAAAACGTGCTACAACAAATTCTCAGCACAGTTTCCTGGCAGCGAATGCTAAAAGAATAAGGCGATTCAAGTCAACCCAGACTAAGAAGTTGACAGGCTGCCATAAGAACTGCAGCTGATAAACAAATATATCGTGATTATGAGGCTATGTAAAAGAGGATTGTATGGAAGGAAGCCATAAGATTTGCGTTTCATTAATTCCATCCGCGTAATACATCCGCTTGTAATTTTGCAGAGCTCATTGTGATTGGAATGTTACAGACAGCAAAAGATTTCTCTTTACAGATGAATTTAGTTTGTGTTTGGAGAATGATTCTAGATATGTTACAGTCTGGAAGATGCAAAACACACACAATAAACCTGAATACATCTAATGAAAGGCAAAGCTGGTAAAATTATTGCACAGACGAGCGTCATTTTGAAGGGCCGCCCTAACCTAAACATTCTTAGCACTGCAATTTTGAATGCTGAAATATATGGAGTTAAAGTTGTTGTCAGATTGTTTAGGGATGAAATAGGTAACAACGTTCTCTAAAGACGATAACGCTTCTTCGCATCACATTTCATTAGTGATTAATTATCTTTAGAGCGAAGGAGTCCAGCGGATGGAATGGTCCACATATTTTAGATATTTAAATGCAATAAGAACTTGCGCGGAACACATCACTGCAGCCTTCCAAGTAACACTTCCCAAACGTTTAAAGCGCTATACATTATGAATACATTTGGTTACCACAGGAGCTCTTGAACAATCTAAATACATAGCTTTGAGAACGCTTTAAAGCTTACATTTCGATCAATAGTGACATTTTAACGTTAATAGTTTTTTTCTATATATCTCTAAAAAACGTTGAAACAAACTTTTCCTACCGACTTTATGTCACACTTACTATTTAATTTGTCTTTCAGAAGTAGGCGGTTCTGCAGTTTGAAGATATGCAATGAAAAACAAACATATAATGTGTAAATTCAATGCTCTTAGCTGCAAAATCCTTGAAGCTACATAAATTTTTACAGTTGTTCATTTAATTTTATCTTAAAATAGTTTCAGCTTTGCGGATGCAATGGTTCTCTAAACATAATACTTAAGTTTTTTCATATAACTGCTGACAAGCATAAATGTTATTTAGTAGCGTGCTGATAGGAAGCTACTTAATAGGGTTATTAAACTGAAAACAGAAGATTTTATACTTCTGCGTGTAAAATTTTGGAGATATATTTAATTAATGAATATTTTCAAGGGCTCAACTATAAACGCTGTTGTTCTATCCAGCAAAATGGAAAAATTATTAATCGCTAAAACGTAACAGTCTTAATTCCTGTACTTGCAGCCTAAATTTTATACCATAAATTTGTTCTCCAGTATTAATTCAGAGAATATTTCATATAAAAGTGTGAAAAGTTTCGTATTTGATGTATTAAAAATGTATAAACATTTTATTAAATGGACATTTACTCTATTTATTCAAGTAAAATTTGGGTTTTGTATTTACAAAAATATCCGACAGCCAAAACATTATTTTAAAAAACATTATTTATTTTATTCTCATTTTAAGAAACTTTGCAGTTGGAAACACATAGGATCAATATTTACGAAAGTAAAATCTTTCCTTTTCTGAACTTGCAAAAGAGATGAATTGTTCATAAGGATCATGTTCATTTGAAAATGCTTCACTCAGATACTGAAGAAAGATTTATCATTAGGGACCATCATTCCAAGCATTCCCACTGAATATTATCCGATAATTCTGCTATCAGAAACAGAATAGAAGTTACTGATACTCGCTGATTTCATGTTACGTATCATCGGCGATTTAAAAATAAATTTTAAAATCTTTATCATATCGGTTGCATAGTCTTTACATATGCTTTCGTATAATCAGTCGAAAGTTGAAAATACACCTTCTCTATCTTTTCTACTCAACACCATCATTTAAACCAAAATTTCCTTTAAAGCTATAAATTACACAATTGCATACCTTAGTACAGAATCAGTTGGTTAAAGTACTGCTGATATAATCTAAACTATATATCGAAAACTGAAATAAAACCGATAATATGGTACTCACCAATAATTTTTATAACTAAAAACTCGGTGGACTTTACAATTCTTCAAATATAAACTTAAATTAATTGCTTATTGATAGGGATGATAATTTCTCTTTTTTTCTAACGAATCTCGGGAACAGCTAGTAGAAGACAGAATGGGGGATCTACAGTATTTCAAGGTTTATTCGTTTAAATACATCAAAACACTCGAAAGTTACCACCCTAAGGAAAGGTTTATGTTCACGGAGAATTATTTAATATAAACTAACTGAACTCGCACAAGGCTTAGCAGGCTGTTTCTTAGGAAAACATCAAATTTTCCATCTGTTTTAAATCCCTATATCATGCATATATATATTTTTATTGCTAACCCGAATAATTATCAATATTTCATGATTCTGTTACACACAAAGCTATTTTGCCTAGATTGCTATGGAAATAATTTCAATCCATTTCTGTGCCTCGACCCAAATTACGAAACATTGTATAAAATTTCCAAAGACTTAATACTATCAATGTTGAAAACTTTCGGAATCTGCGAATTTATTAGTTATAAAAGTATTTACATACACTATGTATGTATAACAAACTTAATTTTTTAGTTCAGTTTGAATCATCCCAGTCTTGGTAATACTTTATCTAAGGTGGAAGACCCATCTACCCATTACCTGTTTCGACATATGCTTTTAGTCTTATGGTACGTCCAGGCTTCAAGAAATTGTCTATAGTCTTCCTCTTCTTCAGGATGTTCCTGAAATATGCATGGCGTTCTCATTGAATATATCAGCTGCTCTATTAAACTCATTAAGATGCTACTCTTTTTACTGTGACCTCGACTTCTTTTCGTTCCTAATTAAATAAAATTTCGCTTTCAGAAGGCCTTACAGCTTTTCTTCTACAGGTGCGAAAGCTTCATTCTTCAAGCGGTTAGGCAAATTATTTTTCAAATTCAAATAAAAGCGTTGTAAAAGTTCGAAACAAATAGTAAACAATATATTGTATCTTTAACAAAGGGCCGTCATAATATAATATTAAGACACGGTTATTTGTCTGCTCCTTTGCTTGTTTTGTTTACGCTCAGTTATTTTTCCCTATTTATGCATTGCTAAACAAGAAAGTAAAACAATTTGTTTCGACTTTATTGTATAATAAAATTAGCATCTAATATTTTATCGGGGTTATGGTTTTATCCATGCACGCTTTCGTTATGCAAGACGTTTGCTATCCGGGGAACCAATGTAGTTAAAGTTCTAAGAATTGATCAATATTTCAAACACAAACAGAACTTCGTGACTACCTTTCTGGAATATCCTCCGTACCAGATGGTGGTGTAGTCCAAGCACTACTATCGTTAAAATTTGAGGTAATTGTAGAGATTGTAGTAGAGGAACCAAAGGGCGTCGTTAAATTCAGTCCTGTTGCTGTACATCCTGAAACGGACACTGGTAAACGAGGATGAGCAGTATTCGTGGATGCACTCCCAAAGCTTATCCAGGCAGTAAATGATACAGAAAGTAATAATCCGATGATGGCACCCTGAAAGAATTCACAGTTTTTTATTAATATTATATAAAGCAGATGAAACATTTAAACTCGTGTAAAAGTTTAAAGGCTTCATAAATATATTCAGATTTGGAAAAAGGAAGTAACCACCAGATATTCGTTACGTAATTACATAAATCATAGCTTGCTTAAATTTCCTTCCTTCCAAAATCTTAATATGTTGAAAAGAAAAATAATTTGATTGTATGCTCTGGATGATTATTCTTAAAATATCGCTTGATGGAAAATTTGCCTAAAATCTTTCTCTTTCTTCAAGTATGATTTTCATGTATAGTTTTGTTATTGACATGTATTATCATACATTTGATTATTAGAGTTACTTATAATTAATCATTTCTTCTATTTATACAATTTAGTACAAAACTTAATTTATGAAATACTGGACTAACAGAAAGCATGAGCAGTTTTTCATGCTATCCCCTTTGCAAATTCATAACCATTCATCGATTCTATGAAAACGATCATTATAAATAATATGTAAACGAGCGATTAATACAGTTACATAAAGTACTTTATAAATTGAAATTTTCTTTCACTTAGATAGCACTGATACGTCGAATATGATTATCCAGAATGAAAAAGACTTAATTTTTGTTGCATACAAAATATACTTCCAACATATTCTTGGATGATTTTGTTGTCTGAAGTAGAATTTGTAGGATAATGCACTCTCGTAAAAAATAAGCAACAAATGCTAAGAGAAAAGGTACGGATGTAAAAACGGAAATCAAAACATATAATTTATATAGTAGGTACCGGGTGCACCGCCGAATGCAAACAGGCAACCAAATTTAGCCATAAAAAGCAATCCCGCAGTCTCACCACAACACCCACTGGACGCCGGAAGATTACCACAGCAGCACACGATCACTACTTGATGCTATGTGCAAGAACTCGTAGATCGCGAACAACAAAATGACTGAATCTGTCATCATGCTGTTCTGTGTTCTCAGTTTATCTAACTGGTACGGGCTGCACTGCAGCAGCTCAAATCCCACCAAACTCTGTCGCGTCGATTGCACGAAAGTGGACTGTGCGCCCAACGACCTACGGGGTGGGACAAGATGGTGCCGTAGATAAGCGAAATAGTAATTTGAACGGTATTTGAAGTCAGATAAAAATATATTTTTATTTTGGCATCTAGTCCAAGTGAAATTTCCTTTAAGTGTGGGGGCAGCGCATAAACATTCCACATCCTAAAGGACTGCATTTTGATATGCAATGTTTCTTTTTAAACTCGCATTTTATTCTTTCTAGGAAACCTAAGCTTGCATTTAGTAGCTTTTGTTTTTATTTTGTCTTTTTCTGTTTGCTCAAAGTGATCCAGTGCTTAGACTTTCTATTAAGCACCTCATCTCATCATAACCCGCTGCGTATTATGTGTCTTCAAATACTATATACACAGGCTGATGGCATAAAAAATTCTGTGTAGCTTTATCTTTAGAGACAAGCCAAATCGGGCGACGTCTAGTAATTAATATTAATCTCAGTTTTGAAAACGATTCAAAGAAAATGCAAGAATTACAATTAGTTTACCTCTACTGCGATTCAGTTGCTTAACAGAATGCTGGATTTCATCTCATTTGGGCTATGGCTAGAATAACGACATTTAAAAAAACCTGAGAAGCACCAAAACCCGGCTTTACGGGGTCCAACTGAATTTAAACATGGAGAATTGGTTATTAGAGGATAAATGAACATATTTCGAAAATTTATATAAACAGGGTATTTAGATAATACAAATTATTCTGCTTTCCCTGAAAAGTTGCAGCAACCCTTTAAAAAGTCGCGATTTTTTTATTTTGTAATTCCTTTTTTGAGGAGATGAAGAGAATATTAGTATGGCCTCTTTTATTTCGTTGTCAAATTCAGAGCAATACGAATAACCGCCTATCCCGCACTGCTTCATTTTTCAATAACTTATTCTCTTGAAAAGTCCTCAAGACAATATTTGCTTGCTTCCAGTTACGTTTTAGTTATTCTGAATCATACATTGCCTAGATTTTCAGAGAAATGAAGCAGAAGCAATGAGTTATCCGAAGCGTGTGGTATTTTTCAAAAACTGCGAATGTTTCAGTTCTTATGCAAGGAAACATGACGTAAGATATACGATGAACATTTAATGTCAACAACAGCCAACAAATGCTAGAATAAGAATTAGGAACTGGTTCAGAACAGAAAAAATTTCCTTCTCCATTCAGCAAAATTTATACGGAGGCAGAGACATGTTGCTGAGAATAACAATCACTTTGCATGTGACTAAGCAAACAAATTTAACGGAATCAAAAAAACCTGTTTAAGCGATCTGCTGATGTCGAAAATATAATTCATCGACAAAGCTCTCAAATGGTTTGTTGACGGTGTATCGCTGAGTGCAGACTAATTACATAAGCGTCATAAATTGCATAGAGAGCACACCATGTATAAACATAGATCTATATTCGGTAGAAAAAACTAACCTTCTCATTTGTTCTTGAAGTGAGGACTCCTAATAGAAAAACGCCTAGAGTTGGACCTGCTACCAGACCATACAGGATGGTAGATGCCTGCAACACATTTCCGAACTTCGCCACTATGTAAGTCAGGAGCAAACCAATGGCACCATAAAGCACAGCTAGAAAAAAAGCAAAGTTAAATGTCTTTTCTACATTCGGAATAATTTGTAATGAAACTCTCTTGTGAACCTCTAGGGACCAGACGGATGAATCCACTGAATTCTAGTATGGTTTGATTTTTTAAGTAAAACAAGCTGAGAATTTATGATGTTTCCACATGCATTATACTACAAAAAGGTTTCTTCAGAAATTCTGCAAAAGGTTTACTCATTATCTGCTTCGTGCATCACTAATCATCCTTCATTGCGAAAACATTTTGGAAAAATCTTATAAATGTATGGAAGAAATATGGGAATTTCAAATTGGACAAAAAGGTTAAATTTTGTTCCAGAGTGAATTTTACCTAATTTTAAAATTCCTAACTTCCACTAAACGTTTCTAATATTTCAAACCTATACTATTTTAAACATTCTAATGAAGTAATTATTTTCTAATACGAGATTTAATAAAATTCCACCAACTAGAGCATAAGTTCAATGTTCATATAATTGAAGAAAGCACAAGCGAAGATTAAGAACAGTGCTTTCGAAGGGGAGTTTCTAAAAAAACTGATTCTATTTATCTTACACATGTGAAAAATCATCAACATTGAGTCAGCCAGATCATTCGCTAAAGTTCAAACTTGGATCGAACTACTAGTAATCGGCGATCTTATCCCTCCGGCCCCTAATGGAATCGTGAAACTTAATGACATGAATCATGCAGCACGATCGCAAATGAATTTTTGTGCAGACGATATTTTACAAATTATAAAATAAGAACAGAACAAAAATATTTCGAAAATCTGAAGTATATGCGAAATATTCTGAATATTACTTCCTAGTGTAAACATAAATATTTCAAAATAAAACTATTATATTAGTTGCTTTATTTTTTAATATATATAAAAATATTTTTAAAATGTATATAAAATCATCACTCATAATACGCATTACCAGAGTTTAAAAGGCATTTCACAAAATGAAGTAATCTGCTAAAATTTTAATCGAGTACCAAATGTTGGCGGGGCTAATCTTCAGTTTCACGACTTTGGGTGATACATTTTCTAGCGGCAAGTAATAATAAGGTAACCAACATGATATATACTCAAAATATTCGAATTATCGATTCGGTAATTTTGTTACTAACTATATCCAAATACTACGAGTAACTACTAAAGCTACTCATATACTCCACCGAAGATAACATATTTCTGCATCAATTCAAATTAATTTCAATTATGTATCTATTCTCAAAGTTTTTATCAATGTTTTATGTCATACTATGTACGTGTCTTTTCTACATCTTCCCTACTAGAGCTTCCAAAAATTCTAATTCGGTTGGCAGTAAAATTAACGATATAAAAGCAAAGAACTTCTGACAATTACATCCCGATAAAGCTTCAGTTAAAAGCTATCGAATATTTCCCACCACCACCAGTATTTAACAAAGATTATTCATTGTTAGTTACTTCTGTCTCCATCTGGAGACATAGCAGTCCCAACGAAGGTAAAGTTACAGGAAAAAAAAGTTACTTGGAATAGTTGCGACTGTCAGTTTCTTTGATCATTACATCCTTATAATTTTTTACAAACACTTTTTTGACACGCCAGATTTCTTTCCAATTTTTGCAACGTCTAAAATCACAGAATAACTAACAACATAGATTTTTCTTGTCTAAATGTTACTGTTTAAGTACTACTATATTATTTATACTGTATACTTCATTTTATATCGAATCCGAATTAAATATGAAGAACGTACGGCATTTATTATCTTTATTCAAAAGACATACACTTCAGTAATATTACCTATAACAGTTTCTCGGTCATCCTTCTGAAACAAGGTTAAATATGAAATACTTGATATCCTAATTAAATAAACACATTACCCATGTGCAAAATTTCTAATCGATCTGTCAGTTGGTTTTACCTTGTCAAATCGATCTGTCAGTTGCTAAGAAACGACTTCCATTCTTCATTTGCATGCAACATAGGATTCGAACTAAACAATGAAATTGAAGTCGTCGGGGTATATAGCACTACAAATTTCAATCCATTGTATGCATTTCCGTTTAGGTACCCTGGATTACGTCAGATTTTATCAACAAGACCGTATGAAGCTTTTCCCAAGGTACTCATTGAAAACACTGAGAATTATTGGACATAAAAACTACCGATAAAATATAAAACGATGACTAATAAACTTCTGAAAAATTGAATTCCCCAAACTTCACTTATTTCTATAACGTTTTCTCGTCGAGAAGGTCACAGAATTCATATTCACAGTGGAAAGCTTCTAAAAAAAGCCACTCTACAAAGGCTGTTCGCCCATTTTTTAGACGATTTTGGTAAGCGATAATAAAAAATCGCTTGCTGCAAAAGAAGTAATTGCAATTGCACTGTATTTTTAAAAGTCAAAATTATCGTCTGTGGCTTGAAAGTTTTGTTTTTATTCAAAATAGCGAATTTAACAAAACAGTGGTTCGAAGGCTACATTTACGCTCTTTCCGAAGAGAAATATGCATACTCCGTTATCCAAAAACGATGTGAGAGTCATGGTTTTGTGAGATCTAAAGCGTAGATAGGTAATATCATCAACAAGAAAGGAAAAAAAACGTCAAATTGGAGCCTAAAGTGGGACAAAAATTCCCAAACAAGTATCCAAAGAAAAAACGGACAACTTCGACTATTGCAAAGGTACGTTGTTTAACGTTAAAAGAAAATCCCCCGAGTCAAAGGACAGTTGCAAAATCATTAAAATGCTCGGTGTCCACTGTAAACAAAATGATAAACGTTTATTTAAATCTTAAAAAAGCGAAAAAACGCAATGTGCGTCGTCTTCTTCCACAGTATATCGTTCAACGCGCTGCAGAATTCTATATGAGAAACACTTATCCAAAGAAAAATGGAAAACAATTGTCACAATAGATGAAGCATGGGTGTATTTAAATGATTTTAACAAAAAAAGAGCCATTTATTATCATAAAAGAGGAGAAAAATTTAAGTACATGGTTCAAAGAATCGAAAGAAAGTTTTTCTAAGGGATTCATGATTGTTGCTAGTTTTTCTTATAATGGCAAGATAAAAATAAGAGTGCAAAAAAATATCAAGATTAACTCCAAATACTATCAGGAACATATTTTATCGCCAATTTTTCTGAATGGAATACCATCGCTTTACCCAAAGTGCCATCTGTGAGACTCCATCAGGACAAAGCTAGCAGTCACACATCAAAATCCACTGTAAATTTCCTAAAGGAAACTGAACAAAAAATTAGTATCAAGGCCGTACCCTTCACAGATATCCCTACTAAATCTCCCGATGTGTCACCTACGGATTTTTGTGCTTTCGGACTTTTAAAACTGCATTATCCAAACGTTGTCCCAAAACCCTAACAGGACTCTGGAAAGCTATTCGGGAGGAATGGGATAGAATACCTCTTCTGCCATTTCAAAAGACATTATTTATCCTGGAAATTGCGGTGTCGAAAGATATTCCAGAGTAAGGGATGTCAAATAGAACATTTAAAACACAATTTTATGTAATTTAGTTTTGTGAATACAATATACATCGTGTAAAAAATGTGTGAACAGCCTCTGTATAACCAGTGGTCACTTAACTAATGGCTTCTTTGATGAGTGTCAGGAACATAAAACTTACAGAGTAAAAATAATATTGTTTAGGGAACTTTCTCACTTTTGGGACAGCTAATGTTCTTTTAGACGTACACTATTTAAACGGTCTCGGACCCAGAATAAAGCATGGGCTGGTGTTTGGGCCGCAATATCCAATAACTCTCGGGCAACATTAAGTATTCTTGACGGTGGTATCATTGTCAATGTTCGTGGATTTCTCCATGTGTAATGTGTATTTGAGCCTTCCCTTAGAAAATCCTCCACGAAGGCATCCCTCCCCTTAGGATGATAGCCCTAGTGAGCTTTGCCATAATTAAATAAACCAAACCATTGTCAAGGACTTTCGGTAGATCATGTCCGTTTAGTTGTTCTCACTTTATATCTGGAAGAGCATGCTATGTGTTAGGTTCACGAAATAAAGCAGCGATAAGTTTGAAGAATGTGAGAGCGAGTTTGAGCATCTTCCACAGTCCGTTAATGTCAGCACCACCAACACTGTCTAGAGTTTGCTACAGGGTAGAGTTGGAAAACGCTTTCCTTTCCCACTACTATGAAGTGAAATTGCCATTCTTCTACAAAAAGATTTCTAGAAGTTAACTATTCTAAAAGAAGGTTGGCGTATTGGTGTATTTAATTATGGCAAAGCACACGAGGGCTATCTGCCTAAGGGGAGGGATGCCTTTCGTGGAGGACTTTCTAAGGGAAACTGGCTCGTATACACGTTACACATGGGGAAAACCACGAAAACGCCCATGCAGCCAGCCCGTTCGCGGGATTCGAACCTCGGACCGAACTACCAGTGTTCAGCGACTTTACCGCTCGGCCGCTGGTGGGCCTTATTTTAAAGAAGAATTATTAAACAAGATTGTAGCTATCATTTTCAAGCAAACCACTGTCGTATTTGGCCTACAAAAGAAAGCCTACGCTAATAGTGATCAGATATTTCACTCTAGATACAGGTGTTTCAATTTCAGGCTTTGTCCAGTTTCTGCAGTAGTTCTGCTATCTATGTAGGGTATTCGAAAAAAAGTTTCAAAAACCCTGTATAATGAGCATGTAATTAACACTGCCCTTTTCCTGTTAAATATTGATTTTAGGCATTTAGGTCCAATTATAAAGTGATTAACGTAAACAATTTTACAAGATCACAATTTTAATACTGCGGATAGGAAGGCTTTTATAAAAAAAAGTTAATTTTGATGTGTTCTCTGCAAAGCAACTATTCGAATTATTAAAACAAAAAGTATGCTTTACAAAACTTTCCATACATTTACATAAAATCTTGGGAGAAGTTTCATTTTTGCGATTAATGATTTCATAGTGGGCAAAAAAAATATTCATCATTAAATTTGTAGACAGAATCCCTGAAAATATTAAATTTTCATATCTCCAAGTTTTGCACACGAATTTTTAGCGTACTAAATCAAAAGGAAGATTTTTGTTCATTGGCTGAATTTATTTCTTTATAGGGGTACTTAATACTAGACTTTTATATTTTCGAAACCCTCTGAACCAATAAAAGAATATAACATCCTCCAGCACCTGCTAAGTTTTCGAAATGCTTGCTCGAAGTATGATAGTATGATAAAGATGTATGATACAATCATAAACGAACATTTGCAAAGCATCGCTATGAAAGTTATAAGCATTAATAATGGCTGTGAGGGAATGAGACAATTTGAAGTCTTCCTGACACACTTTATCTCTAGTACAGATCCAAATAAAAAAAATCAGTCGTATTACAACCAGTAAAGAATAGAGGCCAGTACATGCTATCGAAATAATTTAGGTTGCGAAAAGCTACGACTGTTACACTGAATATTAAACATTAGCATAACGAACGGCCCGTGATCAATGAAAGGCACTCCATCAGATCGGAATAAATAATCTCCAATTATACCTAATTTTTTTGTCTGCAGAAAATTTTCTTTTCAAGAAGAGCCTAAAAATGGATCAAGGACCACTTAATCACATAAGACAACCCAGACTGACTTTTGAGAGTGCATACGATATTTAAACTAGAATTTAAAGCGGCTCTTGGCAACTCATACAGTATCTAACAAGGCACGCCTAATATGCGTCCTATCTTCACAGATTTGCCCTCATAGACTTTGTGGCCAATGTCTTAGTGGGTCACCAGTACTGTCACAATGTGTATGATTCCCCGCAAAGAGCGAATTCTCGTTTAGAAAAGACCCACTGCAATTAATAGTATACCGGCGTGGATCAGGAGTACAAATAAGAATAAATATGTGCTCAGCCGCATTAGAGATTGTGCTGGCATTGCTAAAAGCACTGCAAGCAAAAATCTTAGGCAAATTTATTCCGACACCCTACCATCAGCAGCTTGCCCTGTGTATATATATTAATTTACTTAATATATCTTTTAAATGTATAATAATTACTTGCTTTAATAATGTTTATTATTATGATTAATCCAGCTGGTATTGTTCTGAATATTTACTCGCAGTTAAATTTAATTATTTATGTCAAATTATTCAATTTAGTACTAAGGATTAACTTACTTCGCTCTATTTGTACTAAATTTTTGTCCTGAGCACAATATGTAAATACATTTTTATTATTTTTTGCCTTACCAAGCAGCACTGTACCTTAAATACTATATACAAATAGGTATTATATGTGATAATGGATGTTCGTAAATCAGTCTGTACACATATTTTATCGTATTTAACTCATTTAGTACCTAACATGACATTATGTTAATGCTATTCTCTTAGCTGAGCACTCATTTAATGTATACGTAATTACTACGTAATATAGATACGTATTAGTACGTAATATAGATACGTATTAGTACGTAATATAGATATACGAGTCTGCAATTTTTCCAGTATAGCTTGTCATTAAGTTTTGTATAACATAAACGCAACATGTATTCATGCATAGTTTTATTAACCTAATTTATTTTGCTTCATGATATGTAATGCATAAATATTTGGATATAATTCATTTTTTACATCTGTATCCGCTTCTATATCCTATCCTTATTGTATTTGCATGTCTAACATATACCATAATAGTGAAAGATATCCAAAATATGCATTGAATTAGCAGAAATACATAATATATTATAAAGTCGCAAAGATTTTGGTAATGTAGCATCCACAGCAGCAATTTTTTGTTAGTACGCATTACAACTATGAGCACATTGTACACGACAATGTCAGTACCTCTTTGCAAGTAACAGCAATTTTCTAGTGTTCAAGATAAGTAGTGATCAGCATCTATCACTTAGTCTAAACAGCAGTGTCCCCACCATGCACTTTTTCTCCATGTTCTGATCTTTATTTCAGTACTCCTCACTTTACGTAGTCAATCCCCAGATTTATTTATTTAATATCTTTAATTCCATCAACGGGACCCAGAAGGCTGAACACCACCTAATCCATTGGGGTAGCTGTTCTGTCGATGGCGAAAGGAAGTATATAATATATATCACACATTTCTTCTTTATATCAGTTACTTTGAAAATTCTATCAGTTAATTAACTTTCATTTAAAACTGACATTGAGACGTTATATCTATCTCATTTATTTTTTATTTTACTCTTTAAATATTTTTTCCTTACAGAAAAAATAATTGTACTTCTATATATGTCTAAGATGAATATCTTTTAACACGTTGAGCGCCAAGCGTATTTCTTAGGCAATCCCGTTCAGGCCACGCGCGCCGCTTAAAAGCGCTGGCATTGTAGCGTCAGCGATTCTTATCTCAGTAGAAGATAGTTTACGTTTGGAACGTAATTCCTATAGGCATTCATTCAACACGTTATGCTCCAAGTCTGTTTTGTAAATAGTTACATTCTATGCAAAGATATTACGAAGCAGAAAATTAGCATTACTGAAGTCCGGAAAGAATTGGTTGTGAAAAAAGAAGATATTCCATCGAACAGAAATGCAAGAATATCTAAAAAACGACAGCATAAACTCCAAAGAAAATCGGAAAAAGCCTCTCAAGTACGGAAATATTGTAAATTATGTTATGATAAAAATGCAACTGAAGCTGGTAGAGTAATGGCCAGAAAAAAAGACTAAGACAGTTGTCACAATTTATAATAGCTGTAATGGAGAACTGTTTTTATGCTTACCGTGTTTCAATGAAATGCATCAGTCCTGTAATGAATCAAAATTAAGTAAATTTTAAATAATTTTTCTGTAATTCCATAAAACAGTGTAAATTGTATAGTTATATATCATGTTACACGCTGTCAGCCAGCGGCGGTCCACACGGCCTAAACGGAAAGTCTAGTGTTAGCCACAGATGGCTGACGCGGTCTAAACGGAAAGTCTAGGGTCAGCCACAGATGGCTGAAGCGGTCTAAACGGAAAGTGTAGGGTCAGCCACAGATGGCTGACATGGCGCTCAACGTGTTAAAGCCGCCTTCTCAGGCATGCCCTACAACTCAAAGAAACAACACAAGGTAAAAAAAAATATATATGTGTATACATATCTTCTTTCGATGGAATTAAAATTTTAGTAAAGTAATTAAAAATTTTCATTTTTTCTTTTAATTGTTAAATAAGATTAAAAATTGGAAATAAAATAATTGCCAACTTATGACTTTAGCGATAAGGGTGGCCTTCTTGTCAGTCATTCCTCTTGAAGCACATGTAGGCCTAATGAAGTCTTCCACGGTGACAGTTGTCAGAGAATTAACCATCGAAGACATGGTACTGAGAGCTGCACTCAACATCCCACAAATGCACAGGCCAGGCAATCCCGGATAGCGACCAAGTGAAGTCAACGAAAAATAGGGAAGGAGCTAAAATAATAATTAAATTATAATAAGGTTGTGAAACTAGTACTGTCAAACAAAAGTATAACGAAAGTTACTTATTGCTGCAGTGAAAATGATGTTTCCAATTTTAATTTGCATAAGCGTTTTCAATCTAAAATGATCAGAAACTGTATAAAAACATGTTAAATCAGCCAGTAATTATTGCCAATTTCGGCTAGTATTTTAAGTGCCATCTGATATTAACATTTTGAATTATCTTAACTTTTTGACGTATATCATCTATACGCATCTTGAATTTACTTCATGCATTTTATGTTACGCATTAATCTTCCTTCATTTTCTAAAGTAATGATGTCTAACAGTTAGACATCATTACTTTAGAAAACAAACTGTAGACATCTCTTACAGTTTAGTTGGTTTCATAGGCGTAAAACAAAGCTTTAAATCAAAATTGAAGGATTTTTCTTCTTTTTTTATGAAATTGAATGACAAATCTTAAGACCGCCTTAATTTCTAAATTCAGCATTACAAAAGCGTCAGTCCCGCGTTCTAGACATAACAGATACATACTTCATTATCACAAACTGCTGCATATTTTACTTACCCATACAATTTAAAACACAAGTTAACAAGAAACATTGAGTGAGTAACAGGGCCTCTGCGCTAAAAGTAGACCTACACGTTATATCAGCCGTCTATAAGTTTAAAATTTTTATGGGCCACTCGGCACTCTAAAGTTGAGAATAAACTTTTATGCTGACTCTGGGAAAAGGAAAATTCCAAATAGAGATATAATGGTATGAGATATATAATGGTTAACAAAGATATACTGGTAGTCCGCAAAGACGACAATGTACGGATAGAACAGTTGGCATCAAAGGAAATAAAATTAAAAGGAATAAATATGTAATTACAGAAAAGCACTCAAAAACTGTCTGACCTAGGATACATAACATCATAAAGAAGTTTGTAAGAAATTAGCAAGTATTTACTTTAAACAAAAGGACAATAAAACCATGCAACCAGTCTGTTCCGTTACTAAAACTGAAGCTACTCATAGGATGAATTAGAAATGATCAATTGCTTTATCCATTCGGCAAATAATACTTACCAAGAAATTAGAACTGTGCATTAGAAGATGTCGATAAGATGAAATCGAATTTTCTTTCATTGAGAAATCGGTGTTAAATGTCTGTACGTATGTCAATAGACACGCCAGTGGCCGAACGGCAAAGTACACTGCTCAAAAAAAAAAAAAAAAAAAAAAAAAAAAAAAAAAAATTAAAAATTAAAAATAAAAAATAAAAAAAAAATGGGACAGTCCTATATCTCCCGATCTACTGGGCCGATTGACAAAATTCAAATTGCGTTCTTCATGTCTCGAAAGCGCGACTTAGGATATGTATTAGATTTATATATAGCAGTATTCTAACATAGGTATTTTGACACAAAATCGGACTTCTTCTGAAATAACATATCAATTTTTTTTACATATTTTGATTCTACGACTCAAATTACGCCTAAATATGAAATTTTGTAAAATTTGGAGCGAAATTTACGGAGAAATTCACAAATTTATGTTGGCACTTTTTTGTCAGTTTGCGCCAAGAATAGTTCACTTAGCGAACTTCTTAATATATAGCAACTTAGTTTCCTTTCCCGTGAGAGGAAAAAAAGTCACCATCGTTCCTTTTTCCCAAATAATATTCTTTATATTATATTTTTAATTATAACTTATTTTTTAAGTAATTTTTTCTTTTTCGAATTTCATTTTAATTGTTTAAGTTGCATATTTTTTTCAAATAACTGTTTTAAAAATTTCTGTTTACCTATTCGAACTGCGTAAATAAAGGTGCAGCGTTCATTTTTTTTTTTCAAATAGTTTTCTTTATATATATATTTTGTCATAGTTATTATTTTAGGTAATTTTTAAATGTCTTATTACTTTTATTTTCAATTGTTTGTGTTGCATTGTCTCTTCAGATAATTGTTTTAAAATTTTATATTTATTCCTTCGAATTGAGCATTTTAAATATATTTATTAATATAAATTTTCCAGAATTTGATTTTATTTATTTGAATTGCGTTTCTTTCGGAGGAATACTTTGTAACCCAGACTACGATGCGTTTGAAAACTGCATACATTGAAAGAGAAAATACAGTAAAGCAAAGTTAACAAGCCTTTCAATGTTCCGTTCAGAAAAGAGATATATAAATAAGAGAGATGTATAAACGATATTTTAACTTAGGATGACTTGCATACACTGCTTAAAACAGTTTTATCATTGTGCCCATTGCTTTACACAATTTTATCCTACATTTGGTTTCTTAAAATGTTATTCATATTTTAGTCAAATATTTTATTTTTGAAATCGCAAGAATAAAATATCATAAGATTAAAAGGTTTTAAATTAAAAAAAAATTAAAATACTAAAATTTTACGCAAAAATTTATTTTTTCTTCTCTTTTTCTTCAGGCATTCTACTTTATTCTTGCTCTTTTTCTTTAGGCATTCTGCAAGTATATTAAAAAAGCATCCAACTTTTCGAAACATTTTGGTACTTCTCACAATTATTTTAAATAAAGTTATCGCCTTCCATTTCATAAAGGCCAACAAACAGCCAAGCGGTAAAGTCGCTGAACACTGGTAGTTCACTCCGGGGTTCGATTCCCGGTAAACGGGCTGGTTGCGTCGGCGTTTCCGTGGATTTTCACATGTGTACCGTGTATGACAGCTGGTTTTCCTTATAAAGTTCTTCACGAAGTATTTCGTTAGAGTTTTATCAGTCTTTAGAGACTAAACATTTTGAAGGTATGAGATGAAAGGAAAAATTGGTTTCATCAAGAGGTTTTGGTTTATTTAATTATGACAAAGCACACTAGGGCTATCTGCCTAAGGGAAGGGATGCCTTCGTGGAGGACTTTCTAAGGGAAACTGGCTCGTATACACGTTACACATGGGGAAAATCACGAAAACGCCCATGCAGCCAGCCCGTTCGTGGGATTCGAACCTCGGACTGAACTACCAGTGTTCAGCGACTTTACCGCTCGGCCGCTGTTTCATCAGGAGGGAAAAAAAAACGCCTTTGGGTGACATCCACATACAAAATACTGGATAAACTCCTGAATCTTCAAATAATTCGACTGAGAAAATCATGGGATTCTCCATTTATGATACGATATGATGTTCTATAACGAATTTAAATTTATACAACCATATAGACTAAAACCAGTCGCTCTTCACTTTAATCTGCAATGATATCGTTTTTGTCTTTTCTGCTAACACAAGCTCAATTGATGGTATTTGCTGGTGTACACGTTCAAGTGTTTTCTCTTTGAACGCCTAAATTCTTTGAAGTATCCTGAAAGTATATTCAAAAGCGTCCAACTTTTTGAAACATCTTGGTATGTCTGACAGCCAAATTTCCCTGCAAATGTTTGCTTACTTTTCTCCCTAATTTTCTTCTTTTCTTCTACAGTTACTTTCAGTGCTCACACAAGAAAATTAAGATTTTTCGATTGCTAGACTTCCATAAATTTTGCATTCTTGTCAATTTTTTAAAATATCAATTACATGAATTGCGATTCAGCTGAAAACAGCTTTTCATTTTCTAGTCATTTTAACTATAAATTAAGTTTAAAGAGAAGTCCAAAGAATAAATATTTTAATTAAAATATTTTTGCTAAATGACAAAGAAATAAAACAGTCTAGTAAGGTTTATTCTGAACTACCGAGTAACCCGATTCTTATATCAGCTGAAACAATCTAAATCATATTAAAGATCATGTTTTTTTATACAATCTATAACGCGAGATAAAGATTAGCTTCCTAAAACATTCTTTCTAAGATGATTAATGTAAAATATTATATTTATATACATATACTTTTAAAGCTGGGACTTGAACCAACTTGTCAAACTTTTAAAGTTTAATTTGCATGGTGGTTATAATTAAAGTTCCAATTTGAAATGGTCATAAAAGGAAAACTACCGGACCAAATGTTATCAAACTTGGGAATCGTGTAAAGGAGGTTATGGGAATTTATTTTCCGCGGGAAAAAAAAAGAGTTCAAAAACCCACCACCAGGGAAAAAATGGCACTGTATACAATATTGTTAAATGAAATAAGACACGAAAACATCTGTTTAAAATGTGTTTAATATTTTGCGAAACGTGCTACGAAGCATATTATGTAGCGTCCAGCATTTTCCGAAAGCAAGTTAAATCCTGTTACTGCATTCTCAACAGCAGCTCTTAGCATATCAGGAGGAATGTTACGGACATGTCAGTGTATCACATTTTTCATTTCTGCCAAATTGTTTAGATTATCACCATAAACGAAACTTTCGAAAATAAAATATTGAAATTTGACCTTGAATTTATTGGGTTATCGAAATATTTAATTTGATTTATCTTCTAAGTCCTAGTTCCGACAACAATTCCGTCAAAAATTCCGAATTACTTAAGCTGAAGTAAAAGATTTACTATATATTCACTGTATGTTAATAAAGCAATCAGAGTGTAATAAAAATAGATTATAGAATTTACGCTGATGCAACGTTTTGTCTGACTGCACAACATGTAATGGAAGAGAAGGCTTGTAGAGATCTGTTTTTGACATGCCTCTAAAAGTAGATGTCATACTTCTTTTGTCTCTTCAATATCAAAAAACTTTCCTTTGAGAGGCAACTTTAGTTTTTGGGAAAGAAAAAAATCACAAGAAGACAAATTTGAAAAACATGCAGGACGATTGAGTACACATACTTATTTTCGGAACACAAGCGGTTCTCCAACTGGTTATTGAATAATGAAAAGATGCATTATCATGCAATACAAAACATTTGGAATACGTTGCCTGACTGAAAACGTAAGATTAAAAGTCATCTGCTTAATTCACAGCCATTTACAAGTCAACTACTGGGGCAATTGCAGAATCGTTTTGATCCTGAGCTTGTAAGACAAACCTTATATCACTGGATTTAAACACTTCTTTAATCTTCCAAGAACGTTCCTTCTTTAGCTCAT